CATGTACTAACCATCATGCAACACACACACACTGTGCAGGTGTACGGTGATGTGTATAGGTCATGTACTAACCATCATACAACACACACACACTGTGCAGGTGTAAGGTGATGTGTATAAGTCATGTACTAACCATCATACAACACACACACACTGTGCAGGTGTAAGGTGATGTGTATAAGTCATGTACTAACCATCATACAACACACACACACTGTGCAGGTGTACGGTGATGTGTATAAGTCATGAACTAACCATCATACAACACACACACACTGTGCAGGTGTACGGTGATGTTTGCAGTCCATGACATGGAGGCTGTGCATGATACCATCTCCTTTGAGCAATTTGAAGTCGACGCTGACCTGCATGTGTTGGATGTCACCAGTACGTCTGTTCCCAGGTATGAGCCAGTACGAGTCGCCAAAACCTTACCCTAAACAACATGAGCCAGTACGAGTTACCGAACCCCTGAACCCTATGACCCTAAAACCCTTACCCTAAACAACATGAATCAGTACTACTTACAATGAGTGACACACACACAAGTGTCTGATGGGTCTGATAGAGTACTTAGCTCAGTGGGTTGTGTCGTGTAGTTGGTCTATCAGAGAGATGTTCTGTGCCTGTGTCTGTGTTTTTGTTTGTGTTTGTGTGTGTGTGTGTGTGTGTGTGTGAGGCGATCCTTCTGCGGGGTTAGTTAGGGATAACCCATTGCAAATGGCAGTGTATGTTAATATCCTGAGGCTAGTTGGAGAGAGGGTGGGAATGAATACTGGGGAGAGTAGACGAGTAGTATACTAGACTGTCTGCATTGACTTTGGTCTCTTTCTCTTGGGTGGGTGGTTCGATTGCCCATAAAGAGACCCCCTGTGACACTATCCCTAAATCTCCTGCTTAAGCCACGAACTAATACGATAGTATGCGGACTAGTACTATATTATATGAGCTAGTACTGTACCATACGAGTTAGTACTATACTATATGAGTTAATACTATACTATATGAGTTAGAACTATACTAGATGAACTAGTACTATACTATACTATCTAGTACTGTTCTATACTACCTGCTACTAATCCTATACTAAATTGTTACTATACAGTATAATATGCCGACTAATATAATGTTATACCACGTATGCAATTGTTACTTCAGCGGACAATATGAGCAAGACATGCACAGCTGTCTGATGTTTCTACTGAATGAAGTGTACGTGGGCTTCACTGGATGGCGCTACCAGAAAGACATCCGCGAGATGCACCAGATTGGATCAGCTGTGCTGCAGACGTTTGAGACGTATGTTCGATGTGAGAATATATATATATATATATATATATATATATGTGTGTTGTGTG